TCTCTCTCTCTCTCTCTCTCTCTCTTTGTGTGTGTGTTGCGTGAGCGCATGCGTATTAATTGATTCCACCGGAAATAACGTGTCGAGGTAAAAAAGAAATACCTTAATTCATTACTTAGCAATGTTAAATTTCTAATTAAACGATCTCTCTTTTCTCCTCTAAACCTACAACATATCCCAGTCATTGAAATAAAAAAAATGTGGCTTATAACTTTAGGAATTCCTTCTCAATATCTTTCACAAACGATCCGACAAAATTTATGGCTAATGTACAATGTTGTTGTCGAAGATTGTTAAGTTATTAATATAGGTATTGATTGCCATAAATTTCAATATTGAAATTAAAATATTTTACTAACAAGGGAACCTTAAATAATATCAAATTTTAATTTTAATGAATAACTTTTTACATGCATACAGGTTACGCGTAAATAGATTTAGAAAATATTTTTCAATTTAGAAAATGTCAATTAATGTTAATAAAGGAAAAATAGTAGTTTTAAACGGTATATAAAACCATTTATAAATACAGCGATTTTTAGCATTTTTCATTATATATCTTAAAAATTATTCAAAATATAAAAAAATATTTTATACAGAAGATTTATAATAAAATTACTTTTATTCAAATCTACGTCAATAATATTGTTAAAACGTAATTTAAAAAATATGAATTTTTAAAAATGATTTTTTTTTTATATTATATTAATATGTATAAATAAAAGTAATTTTATTATAAAACTTTTGTATGAAATATTTTTTTATATCTTGATTAATTTTTGAAATATATAATAGAAAGTAATATTTTCTAAATTTGTTTATTTATGTGTGTGCATACAAGGTTTCATTAAAATTACAATTTGACATTTCGTTTGCGAGTCGAACAGATTGGAAAGTAGTAATAAAGTTCAACTTGGCGCGTTCCGCTAATTAAGTTTCAAGGTTTCTCGTGCTGTTCGTTAATTTAATTATTATAAGTAGTATAATTCTTTCGCTAAATACGTATGTACGCAGAAGTACTGTGATTTGAAGCTACAAAGTAGCAATTGGGGGTGTAACTCAGTGGTAGAGTGTCCGCTTCGCATGCGGAAAGTCCTGGGTTCAAATCCCAGCTCCTCCACAGTTTTTTTTTTCTTGCTTCATGATATGCGCGTGACCGATTTTTCTATAATTTGACGAAAAATCGTAAATAGTGTTGGACATTTAAATATTTAAATAATTTTTATTTAATATTTAAATAAAATTTTATTTTTTATTTGCATTATTCATAATTCATTATTCATGCTATTTATATTATTGGTATTATTTATTATTCGCATGCTTATTATATAGTTTTTTTTACACAGTATGATAATTATTTTGCATGTAAAAGTATTAAGGAAGAGATACCAAAAAATCAATAGTTTATATAAAATATTCTTCCAATAAGAAATTATTTTTTATTTTATTATAGGTTAAAATAAAAAATTTTATTCTATATTTATGATTTCTTATTCATAAATATTTGCCCAGCATCTTTGATCGTAAATTAATTCGTGATTAATTATTCTCTTGATTTCTGCAGAAGCTGCTCGAGCTTCACGGGATTGCTTCGACACACAACGACGCGAATTTCATGGATTTTTTGGAGACTGAATTCCTGCAGGAGCAGGTGGACGCGATAAAGGAGATCTCCGATCATGTGACGAATCTGGAGAGAGTCGGGGAAGGTCTCGGTGTCTTTATCTATGACAAGGAGTTAAAAGATTAAAAAAAATAATATCGCATCTAAGAGATTTGCCAAAATAATTAAATAAAATAAAGAACAAAATAATTGAATAAAATATAAAAACATTTAAGTGTAGGGGACTTTAGATACCCCATAAACAAAATGTTAGGCAGAATATCGGCGGATTTGATCAGAAAATGTCAGCAGACTGACATCAACTGCGATTGCATTCTTCTTTCATTCTGTCGACAGAATTGATCTATTCACTTAATCAGACAACAAATTGACGGCAGAAATATCAGAATTTGCTGACAGAATCTGATAGTATTAATAGATTGACAACAAAAATCGGACAAAATCTGTGTTGTCACCGAATACTTGCAAAATTGCTGCTAGGTGTTCGTTGGTATATGTTTTCCCATTAAAAATTTATCAAGCACTATATAACTACATACACACACGTACGTTTATACTATATATATATAATATACAAGGTGATCCATTTTAATCAATCTTTTTTTTTTAGAAATTATTAATAATACGAAAAAATGTTTCAGATCAAAATGGAACGGTTTTTAGGAAAACATATTTTGGTCACGTTTTTTTTCTAGATGGAAGCGCTAAAAGGATATAAAGGTTATCTTTTTTAAATGCGAATTATATGATTTTTTTTACATAATATGATTTCTCCAATTATTTTACATATAAAAGTATTAAGATGGAGACATACAAAAACCAATAATTTACGAGATATTTACTATTGCATGATGTTAATATGTGCCAGAATAAAGTATGACATATTTTGCAAACTATTGGTTTTTTAAATATCTCTAGTTTAATATATTTTTATATGCAGAATTAGAGGAATTATATTATGTAAAAATATTCATATCTTAATTCTATTTAAAAAGTGCAAATGATCTTCATATCTTTTTGGCGCCTCCATCTAGAAAAAAAAATGTGATCAAAATACGTCTCCTTTGAAACCGTTCTATTTTTATCTGAAATATTTTTTTGTATCATTAATACTTTCGAAGAAAATTCGAGAAAAGTCGTACATTATGTTGCAGCGGTGTCTCGAAATGTTATTGATAGGAGAAAAAGCCCTATCTTCATGGATCCCGCCTAGTGATGTACTTCCCTTTTTATTGCCCCGTAGACCACGCTCCTAATGACGCGTTTCCTCCTTCCTTTGTCTCCTCAGAGCCTACCACCCACCGAGTATGGAATATCCCCGAGTCTCAAGTCCTTCCTGCCTCTCTACTCCCTTTAGAGCGCCCAGTTTAAAACTGGTCCTTGTATACATCCTATTCTTATAGGTGAGAAATCTTATAATGGTGCTTTTATTCTATACGGTTTTTTAACTACAGAAAATAGAATTTTGCGTCCATCTAGCGGCAGTCTAGCGATTTTAATGAAGAATTTAGTTTAACATGTTATATCATAGTGACTTCCAAAAGATGTATCACATGATTTTCTGTTATAAAATGTATAAATTGTTAACTTTCAAATTAAGAAAATTGTGTTTGATTTTTGCTGTCAGTCTAGAATGTCAACAGATTCTATCAAATTTCTATAGCAGCAATTTGTTAATATCATCAGATTTATTACAGATTTTGTGTAAAATTTATTGCCTTTCTGGCACCAGAAATTTTATAGCGGACTCTGCTCAAAATCTGTCTCTTCAGGTTTGACTATTGGCGAGTAAATATCCCGAGAAACATTGATTCGTATAATAAATTCGATAAAGATATCAATAAAAATATTCGTATTGAGAAAAGACTCCAGATCTGTACGATATGCTGATCTATACGAATAGATAGGCGAAGAAGCAGATGTTTTAAGCGTATATCGTTGTTTGTATTTGCACTCCGATTGCAGAGGAAGACGTATAATATACAGGGTGGGTACTAAGAGGTCTTTCCAGCAAGAGACACAAATGACATAAAGTGATACGGTGTTCAATATGTATAGCACTATCCAACAACGATACAATACGGCACAAATGCATATATAGCAAAAAAGTTGAAATTGTATATCAAATATACATGGTTACTATCTAGAAAAGATAAAAAATTTCAATGTGCTGTAAAAATTTGGCAGTTTGTTTGAACTTGTTTAAATAACAAACAATTTTATACAGTGCTCCACTTTACGTTTCACTAAGAATTCTATGAAAAACTAAGAATTTCTAAACGAACAATAATCTCACTCTATGTCCCACTACAAATATCTAGGAAAAATTAAGAATTTCCAAGGTCTTGTCTCAATCTATATAGTTTTTCTGTACTTTTCCGTAAAATTTTTTTTTCCGTCATGAGTGTCCCAAATGACAATTAATTTCAAAGATACAGTTAAGTCAAAATTGAAGGGAAATTTTCAATTTTTACCAAAAATTTTGAAAGACGCTTGAATTATTTTGCTGAAATTTTGTGTATTTTTTAAAGTTTTATCCAAATAACCCAGATATGGTTTTAAAAATTTATTTGGAAAATACGAAAGTTTTTCTTTAACTTTGACATCCTGTAGCTTTAAAACTAAGCTGTTTCAGACATAATAATGATCATATAAAGTCTTCGTCTTGAATTTATATGTGAAGAATCACCCCTTAAAATCTTATAGAATATTTAGTATTCACCCTGAATATAACTAGTGTGATCTTATGCGGCCTCTCGTCGCAGAAATAATCAATTAACTTTATCGTGCAATTATCTAGCAGTTATAACTTTTTGAGATATATCATATATTTCTAGGCTCTACAAATTGTAATAGCACACGATATATTGTACCGTTTTAAATCAAACATTAATAATAATAATAATAACCATTGAAGATCCTACTATAATAGTATGTTTTAATTAAGATATTTCGTTTATACCTAATCCCCGATAATAAAACGTTCGTTATCTGTATACAGGATGTCTCAAATTTCGTTAACCACATTACATTTTCTGCCGTTTTCTCCTATTACTTCCCTTAACTTATACTTCTCTGGTGAAAATAAAAATTGGAGTGTAAGACGAATGTAAGGGGAGAGTAACAGATATCTGTGTAAACGAAGCTTCTAGGAAGCGAAAAAAAATTGATACAACGAAACATAAGAAACGTAAACGGTTCTTTTACATTTCACTAATGTCTCAATTTCTTCCTAAAAGCTTTGTTTACGCTATTATCACTCTCACCTTACATTCGACTTATACTCTGATTTTTAATTTCACTTGGGTTAAATCGAACTAATTGGAATTCTCATTCATATAAAGAATATAGGTTTATGATTGCTTAGAATGTTAGATAATATAATAATCACTGCTAACAAATACACGTATATTTTTTTCGCTTTCCGAGCAAGATACGAATATTTCAACGTTTCAGAATGCAAAAGATTTGCAAAAATTGACAATAAAAATAATATATGAGTTTTTTATCAACCTTATCGACATATATGACCACCACGAGTATCATACAGATATAGTACCATACTACCACGGCCACATTGTAACCTTCGCGCGGCGCGATATGTATATATATATATTATGTAGCTCATCCATCGTAACGTAATTGAACGTGATCGTCTCCTCTTGCTGAGTGCTGTTACTGCTGATGAGTGTTTTCAGTTGGTAAGATTTCACAATCTTCACGGATCTATGATTTAACATGGTCACAGTAGCAGCTGTCACATCCCTGGAAATCAGCGTTACACAAACGATTGAAACGATACGTGGCCCTGCGTTGATGGTTTCGTAATTAGCCTTGTTAGTGCTGGAGCGCCCGTCAGCGCCGAGTCGCGCAAAAATGTATTCATCGTATGTCATCGTCGGTGCGTTGCTTAGCGTATCTTCGCTCATCTGCGGGGTAAGCGAATCGTTAACTCCGGCAATCTCTTGAAAACGTTCGTGGGTGTTTATGCGCGTACTCAACGCAAGGGAATCTTTCAGAGTGAGCTCGAGTACGACGGCTGGCTGCAGTTGAGGTTATGGCACGCGTTCAACGACGATCCGGTACCCGTGTTCACAGAACGGGGAAACGTCACTGTGTCCAGTGTGCGTAGCGGTGCGTCCGTCGTTGGGCAGAATGGCCTGCTGCCGGCGCAGATAAACGCTCTGAAAAATCTCGCCGAGCACGATGGCAAATATAGACTGAAGGTGCTAGCTCGCATCTCTTCCGGCAGTGAAATCGTGTTCCTCACCTCGGTGCCAGCGGTAAATGTCTTGCGAACAAGCCTCTAGGAATTGTCCATGTCCTACTGACAGATTTTTCGATAAGGATTAAATCTATATACTTCAGGACACTCGCCTGAAATAACTTATAGCGAATTTGATCACTTGCATTTTACTAAGAAGTACATATTAAAATCTGTTAAACATGAAATTAAATAAAGTTAAATGTATTTATGTATTAATACTAATTAAATGCATTTATACATTTATATCTAGTGCATATTAGTGAGTTTAACTGAATTAGCTGTAAAAGTACTCCATGCGAGTATTAAAGCATTTCATCATTAAAATATTTTAATGGTAAATTCAGTCACACGCACTACACTATTATTAGAGCTACTTAAAGGCTACTCGAATATAAAGTCTATCTGAATAAATATTTTTAGCGATTGAATGTCCAATAATATGTTATTTAACAGAATATTACATGTGTTATTTCATTTTTAAAGTTGATCATATTTTACCATTTCATTTATATAAAGCAGTCTTTAATATATATCAATTCAGTGTAGTGCAAGTGACGCAATTAATCATTTATGAATTTATCATTAGAATATTTTGATGGTAAAATGCCTCGACATTGGCATGGACAAATCTTATAACAGATTCAGTTGGACTCACTAATGTACATTAGATGGTAATACATATATTAACGTAAAGATGTATGTTTAACTCTCCTGAAAATCTATAACAAAAAGTTACTGTCACTGGGTCTGTAAAACTCATTTAATATATATTGATTAAAAAACACTAATTAATTTTGAGAAATTAAAATGATATAACTCGTATAAAAAAAAGAATGAATACTAAATTTATTTTAATAAGAATAATCCTTTGCGGGAGGTATCTTGAAAAAACGGAATTGTTTGATATTTTTGTATAAAGTGACAGTTGCTACAATAATAGAATAAAAAATGAGTAAATTAGTAAAATATGTACAAGAACTAGTAAATATAATAATATATCTTTTATCTTAACATTATTTCATCGATAAAACTGAATTATTTTTACTCATCGAAATCTTTATTATTCAAACAATTACTGCATAGGAGATTTAATAGACCCATGTCAACTCTAGTGTGTGTGTTAATGTAGAATTTATAAAAATATAAACAGGACTACGAAATTTTTAATTTCTTAAACTTTATTTTACTTTTAGAATATATACTGGACATTTTATCATTTAAGATATTTCATTTTTATTACTCAAATATATAGTATACACAAATATAAAACAGATTTAATATGCACTACTAGTACATTTAATCGAATTGTTATTAGTTTATTTCATTTGACAATACATTGTATTTTATTACATTTAAGTGTACTGATTGTATTGTTTTCAATTTATAGTGCTACCTCCTTGGTTCAGATCTAGAAGATGTCATAACGATATGGTTGGATAGTACAGCAGAGCCGATAGCTGTGAGCATTTCATCTTCGGGACCCTGTATGTTAGATAATCCCTTCACAAACATGTGGACTACAAACGTCGTGGTCAGATATCCGGATGGCGGTCCAATTCCCGACACCGCTACGTATATTCAGAAGCTTGAACGAGAACGGGAAGCAAGAGAGAGAGGAGAAACCAAAGATAATCGTTCATTTCTTGCAAAATATGTAAGAATATTTTTGTATATCTATATATAAAAATATTTTTGTATATATATATATATATATATATACATATGTGTATATAGATAATTTAATTCATTCATTTTTGTTACAGTGGATGTATATCGTTCCTTTCTTGATCTTTTTGCTGTTGTCATCCGCGTCGAATCCCGAAGCTGGCGGAAGTGCACAAAGACAATGATCTTCTAATAAAAAAAAATTTGTGCCTGTGTGTGCATTATACCCTTAAAGAGTGGTCTTGTGGAAACTGTCGAAATTTATAGTATAATTTCATAATGTGATAGAAATAATATTAAATTATAAATATTACATAATACATATAATTACATTTCTGCTAAAATAAATATAATTATTAAATTGGATATATTGTCCGTATTATTCTAAATACAATAAAATAATAATGTATTGAATGATACAGTTGTGACATCTATAAACAGCAGAGTCAGTTGTAAAATCAATATTCTATCACCGTGCCAATAGTAAGGGCACAACATTGACAAAGCATACCGCGATAATGTAACACTAGTTCAGAATGGCAGAATTCTCCTTAAACATTCAGAAACACATAAAAGCAAATCTTGTTGTGAGTGGAAAATTTGACGGGTCGCACGCGTGTCTTGCGGCTGCTACACCTGGCGGAACCATTTTGGTGCACAGTCCGCATAGGCAACCGCAAGTCGATTATTCTGATCACAAGCAATCGAATAAAAGATTGTCATGGAGCGGGGAGCTTGCGGAGCTTCAAATTGGCACCGAGGTTCGAATGTATTGAAATCAAAATGTTATATACAAATCGTTTTACGTATAAATAAAGTTTTGCGCCATTCTGTGTTTTTATTTCGTGCCTTCCTTGTATACAAAAATTCATATTATTTAGGTGAAGTCATTGTGCACTGGTCGTCTTGGAGAAGACGAAAGGGATATTCTTTTGGTCGGTACTATTTCTCACGTGCTTGCTTATCACGTCGAAGACAATGCTGATGTTTTCTACAAGGAGGTATTGATTATAATTTCGAGTTAAGTAAACAGGATCTAGACTACTATACTAATTACTTTAGATGTCTGATGGTGCAAATTGCATGCTTGTCGCAAAAGTTGGATGGTTGCCGAACCATGTTGTGATAATAGGTGGCAATTGTTCAGTGACAATCTTAGATGCACATGGAACAGAAATATTTTGGACTGTAATGGGAGGTATTGTTACTTCACTAGCAGCGTTTGATTTTGATGGAGATGGAGAAAATGAAGTAAGTATGGAGCGATTCTTAATAATTTAACGTCAATTTTTCACGTTTTTTTTCTTATTTTAAAATCTAGATTCCCCATGAGTCTGGAATCTTGAAGTAACTAAACCAATAATGTAGAGTAATTCATTTTTTATCTTTTATTAATTCTAAAAATTAGAAAAAGATAAATTAAACCGAGATTAAAATTAATCTATATTGATAGAAGTAGACATAAAATTTGTTGTTTTTTCCAAATTACCTTTTTATTTTGTTTTAGTTACTGACGGGTACAACAGATTTTGAAATTAGAGTGCAGAAGAAAGACACTATACTTTGGCAAACTAAGGAAACAGCAGCGATTGTTGTTTTCACTGATCTTCCGAACAGGCAGTTTGCTTATGCTCTGGAAAACGGAACAATTGGTGTCTATGAAGCGGGGCAAAGACTGTGGCGAGTTAAAGTAAAATGTTTATATGCAGCAAATGCAGGAGAAATTTTATTATTACTTCTGCTTCAATTTGTAATTGCATTTCAAATTATCCGATGTGATACATAGCAATTTATATAACTGAAAGATGCATTTAAAAAATTTACATATTTGCATATAATAATATTTATACAAAATATTAGACACTAAGATCTAGCTTCGGCCGTATTTGGCCCTTCTTTATTTATTTAATCTAATTGAATTTATAAAATTGATTTCAGTCAAAGCACAAGGTGATATCTGTAAACACTTTCGACATAAACGGCGATAGTGTATTGGAGCTGATCACTGGTTGGAGTAGTGGAAAAGTAGATGCGAGGACGTATAATACTGGTGAAGTAATATTCAAGATTCAGCTATCATCCGGCGTGGCAGGCATAGTAGAAGCTGATTATCGAAGAACGGGTAAACCCGATCTGGTGGTAGTTTCTACCAATGGCGAAGGTTTAATAAACTTGGAATTCGTTTTCTCTGCTAAATAGCTACGATTCTTGCTGCAATATTTTTATTTGGTTCTCACGTTTTTTGTAGTACGCGGATACAGTGCTGGCTCTGCCATGCAAGCTCCGGAACCCGGTGAGATAATTCGTGAACTATTAGCCAAGAAGCAGGCACTTCAGATGGAATTGCGACAGAGGGCTGCGACTGGTTCTAATATGTATTATGCATCGAGATTAGCCATTAGCCTGTTAACAAAGAGGGGCGCAGCTCGCGTCGCGCTTGCAGCTGGACCCGGGCTTCTGGTAATATGACACATATGTACAGGATACATCTCTGAACTCTAATATAACATCAATGTTGTAATTGCACACTCAACAATATAAATATAATATAACACATATTGTACGTAATAATTACATTATCGAATGTGAAAGTATAATATTGATGTTAGATTACTGTTAATTGATTGATATTTATCGGAAACTCGAGTTCCTTTGTATCACAGATTCTTTGATTTCTTCAGTTTTGAAATAAATTTTCCTTAAAAATGAGATATCCATTAATTAAATTCGCGTGATATTGTAAATGTAAAATAATATTTAGGTATATTGCGCCATAGTCTTTGCCGAAGGTGTTTTTGAGGGCGAAACACTGGTCACGCATCCCAATCGGCCGCAAGGGGAGTTAGAGATCGCGCTTTATCCTGCCAAGAACGATCCCGTAGATATTCACGTTAAGGTTTACGTTGGACCTCCCGGTACCGATCTATTACAGGTTTTCGATAATTGTTATTACGCAATATAACTCTAGTGAAAAAATTTCTCATATTATCTCGTAATATTTTTAAGAATTCGTTATATATTTTAAAATTTTAGGTTTCTGAAAAAATATCTTATACTTTTTCTTAGATTTTATAAATTATCTTTGGAAATCATAGAATGAAAAATTTTAGAAAACACTTTGAATATTTCAGAATTCACACGTGTAAAAAATTCTAAAAGAGATGTAGATCTTTTTAGCACTTCTGACATTTTTTAAAAAGTTATAAAATAATACGGAAATTCTGAAAAATTCTAAAAACTTATATAAAGAAATCTAAAAAAAATTTCATCAGGAAATCATGTAAATTTCAGACTGTAACAATTCTAAGTTTAATAGGTCTTTGAAATAACACGACAGTTGCCAAGATTTTGTATGTATGAGCGTATCCCGAAGCCGCAACTTGTCCTGGAAGAATTGTCGAGTAATGGCGTTGAGATGGATGTGAGTGAACATTTAAACATTGTTGAGTTTTGATTTTAATTTCTAAAACCTAACGTTAAAGATGAAACGAATGCATAATCCAATTTTGTAGATCGCGGAAAGACCGCAGCGAATCGCTATTTGGCTGAACCAGAGTATTATCATGGGAGAGGAACTAGAGATTGCAGAAGGTGGCCCGAATGCCGGATGCATCGAAGTGTGGCTTCGTGGGATGCGTGACGACAAAGTGCATTGTTTCAAATCGAACGCCAGTGGAAAAGTGATAATTCAGACGGACGATGCAACGTTAGCTGGCGACATTATTCAATCTCTGACTATGTATTTAGGCGTCAGAGAACTAACTTCGGAAGCCACGTTTCCTGCGGAAGAGAAGAGGATATTAGACGCGTTGGAGCGTGTCAAGGGTACGTTATTAAGGAAGAAGTGATAGAAATGCGAGCTGCATTCTGGTGAAAATGTTTCTTAGAATTCTTCATATAATTTTTATTATGTAAATTTTTTAATTTTTGTATAATTTTATAACTTTTTAGAAAATGTTTCATTTTTTATACGAATTAATACACTTTTCAAAAGTACTGAGAAAGTTTATATACATCAATTCTGAAATATTCTAAGATTTTTTATTCTATAATTTCTGAAAAAAATTTATGAACTCTGAAAAAGTTTAAGATACTTTTTTTTTTATAAATCTTCTAAATTTAAAATATGACAAATTCTTAGAAATGTTATATTATAAAAAATTATTTTCATATCCTCCACCGCCAATCGGTTCTTTTTTGAGCGAAGAACGATCGTTTTTCAATCTTTCGAGCTTTTGCTATTGTAAAAATCATTTTAATACATCGAAATATTTTTCAGGCTTGAAGGAGGTTGACGCGCGGCTCCAAGCGGAAGCTGCGGGTAGTGCCACTCTTTTGAAGAGTATTGTGATTCGTTTAGAAGATGCTAGAATTCTCGAGAACATTGACGATATGCGAAAGAGACTAATGCAATTAAAAAACATCAATGGCGATTTAATTCGAGAGCACGAGATTCGGCTGAACAGTCATCGAGAACTCGCGGCTAGTTTAAAAGAATTAAACATTGGAGTGCAGCGTGCAGCGAGACTAAGAGGTAACGTCTTTATCGCATAATCATTGCTCTTTCTATTTCTTAGCAATTATATTTATTCTTGCAGTTGGGAAAGCTGCTTCCAATGCAATAGCTCGTTGTAGAACGGCAATACAGGATGAAAATCCGAAAGCCCTTGCACTTGCGATAAGACATGGCTAGAGAAATCCTTGCAGAAGTTCAATTTATTGCTAGCCAATTTAATAGTGAAAGATAGTACTTAATTACTTATTTTGAATATTAAAAGCACTGAATAAAATAGTAATCAATCACTATCTTCAAGTATTAAATTTTTATTAAATGAAATAAAATACAGGACTCTCGTTATTAAATAGAGTTGTTAGATTAACAGAGCAATAAGAGTCGAATAAAAATATCAAATTTAGAATAAATAATTAGAGAGTTACATGTATATTAAGAAAAATTACAAGTTTCATATAGGTTACGAAATTGAGCTACGATATTAAATTTTTATAAAGGAAATATATCTTCAGGCTAGTTCTTATACTCAATACAATTACCGATTTCGCAATTACATTACGATTCTTTTAAAACAAATATTTTAGGACTGCTGGCATTGTCCGTATTATTGCAGATAAAGATGAAAGTACGAAATATTGCTGTGAATTCGTACACACAAGTAACTTTTCTTACAAATATCGGTTTATTAAACAGTTAAAATATAATCTTTTTGTACAGTGTTCTCTCTCGATGTTTAGTAGAATAAAATTATTATTTAATCTTGGATTTAATCTAACGATTATAGTAAATTTCCGCGAGCAGAGATGCTAAATCTTCTTCTCAATGGAGGAGGTGACGGTCGACGGAGAGTATTTATGGTTCCGTCTGTGGATGCTCTCAGTCTAAAAGATGTCTGATGACTGCTGTGTAATTCGGTCAGCAATCTTAATATATTCATGAATACGGCCGTGACCTGTTAAATGAAAAATAATCGTGAATTGTCATGGCCACCGTTACATAAAGATTTGATATTATCATTTAAAAGAGGAATATCTTTTAATGACATGAACGTTATCACTCCCACGTCTCTGTTTCTTTTTGCTTTGTATATATTGCGTGATTATGATACACAAAATCAATTACTGTATATTCTCATCTCCTCGCTATTTTTTAACTATTTTTTTCATCCGCAAGCAAGATTATAAAATACTCTGATGTTGAATTTTATCTTATTTCTTTGCAAACTTGCAACGTAATTTTTATGTATTAAACAAGCGTGACCACATTAATGAAATTATTATTAAACCTATTAATAGAAAATCAATACTAATATTTTATTAAAATTACAAAAGAATTATTTTTTAGATATATATATATATATAATTTTCATTATTAAATTGCAAATCAAATTTTATGAATCTGTTTAGAACAAAAAACAATATTTTATTTTTAACTGTTCCCAAAAACTTTGTATAAATAATTTTTATCCCAATATTCGATTATCACGAAATACTGAAATGCGTCGATCTCCTACCACGATCGTCATTACAATGCGTAGATAAAAACATTAAAATGCTGTTGTTCGTATCGTGTGCCTTGAGACCGAGCGATATAGATTTGTTTATGGCCCCGCGATCACGCGCAAACGCCATGGCACGCAGAGTAAACAATCATTTAGAATAATAATCTTCGTTACGATTAGCTGATATGTTAACTGCATCGGATATTTGTTCTGTGTTCATTTATAGCCTACTGATTTTTTTCGGGGCAAGAATTTAAGCTGAATCGTTCTTTTCAGATTTGATAAATTTAATGCTTTCTTTTGTGAAAATATACTATAGGATTAGTGAATAAACGAATAATGTACAATATTTGAATAATATATTATTATTTCCGTACTACCGTTTATTTTATTGTTTTTCTCTTGTATTTTTTGTAATTTTATTTTTCTTTATTGTGTTTGTCATTACTTTTAATTTTTTTCGTATGTTCTTAGAGATCTCTAAAACATTAATAGAGACTCTATTTTTTCTATTTTACGTTTTACACGATGTCGAATCGATCGAATATGTATATACGCAGGTCATTACCTGATCAACCGATTCCCTTACGGAAATCTCGTGGAAAGCATGAGCCTCGATTTCTTTTGCCCTTTTCTGGCCTTCTAGGGCAGATACCATGCGTTCACCCGGAGAGCAGGAGAGATCGGCCTTGTTTCCCACAAGCAGCACGACCGGTGGCACCTTTCTGCCTCTTCTCGCGTGTGATACCAAAAACCTGAAAGTACATATATATGACGTGTATACACTTTGCGCAATTTAACATCGTAAAATACAATATTATTTCGCATTTTACTTTTTCCTAATAAAATATGTAGGGAAAGAAAAAGCAACATACCTCAGACGAGAAGTTTCATCGAAGCTGACCCGGTCCGTTACCGAATAAACGATAACTATCACGTCGGCCCATCGTAATTTTGGCTCGACGGAGGCGGGTGGATTTCCGGGAGGATCCGCTATTTCCCACGAAGATCCCAGATGATTGTCGACTCGATAGATTCTGTCCGTGGTGCAATCGTATTCGCCTATGAAGCGTTTTGTGGCGAATCGCACGGCTAAAGCTGATACCAGAATCAAAGTATAAATCAGATATATTAGTAAATAATAAACTATGTCAAAAATTTAATACGTTGTTTTAATTAAATTGTTCATATAGGAGCAGTAGCAATCTATAGAAATTATGTTGCACAAGTACTCAAAGATGTGTCTTCATGTGACATGAATGTTTCCAGCATAAAAGAGCAGGTAACGGAAGAGTTCTATTCTGTTATTTTTATAATAACAATTTGGTAATTGTGTATGTACATATATATTATAATAATGCCAATTTGATGTTGTAATTTTTTATGAGTATAATGATAAGTAACTAAACACTGAGATTGCGCTAAGATTGGGAAAATCACTTAAAAAAAATTTCTTTTTAACTTTGCAAATGAGTGAGGATGAGGAAAAGTTAAAAAATTTGATATTAAAAAAAATGAATACATTATTATATAAAGTATAAAATATCATAAAACTTTTGTATAGTTTTGAAGATATTTAATGAAAACGATAAAATCATTTTTTTTCGAAAGAGAATGTTTCAACCCCTAAACTTTGAGACATGCTGATAAAAAATATAGGTCTAATATTATCTGATGCTCTACAACATATCCAAAACCCATCAAAATCGGTGTAAAACGGCTCCGATGATTACTAACTTTGTTAATTAAATTAATGGCAATTAAATTGAGTAGGAGCAGTGGCGACCTCTTTTATTACGATTAAAGATAACTCCATTTGAGTATAATTTCACATGATGAATTTAACAGTATAGAAAATAAAATATATATAATAATAAAAATTTTAATTGCACATATTTTGCTTGTTACATATTTTCTTGGCTTCAGGAAGCTATATACGTTATCATCTTCGCAAAGTTTAATATAAAACAATTTATATTTATTTATTTATTACGTAAACTTTCATTGATTGAAAGAATGAATGATTAATAATTTCAGTTGATATGTGTGTACATATATATGTTTTACGTTATCCATTGAAGAAACTGTTATCGATTACTCAGTTACTCACCTGACTTGCCAACGCCTGGTTGGCCCAGTAAGATCACTTTGACAGTCTTGAAAGTGTCCTTGTTAAGGCCGAGGGCCCAGCAGATTGGAGGACTATTTCTCTTCTTGAGAGCGGATGCTAACGGCGGACTATCACTATCCATGTCTTTATCGCCACTGATCCTTCCGTAGGGTGTCCCATCGATTATGAACCCCTTTGTATGATGATATTTAATGGATGCATTATTCATAGCAATCTGTCGTACTCTTCTTAAAGGGTGGGGGCATAATAAACAATACACGGGTAACACGTCATTGTAACTGCGTCATTAACTATTATTAGTATAACGTGTATTACGCTATAGAATCTGTACGTGTACATAAATTGCAAAAAAATGCATGATGCAGTGATAAACGTCATAAAATTCTATTCCCAGACTCTTCCGATTTCATTGTAAGAATATCCGGCTCGCGTAGCCTCAGCTGATCGTAAGGAAATTGTTGATCCATCGTATTTGGTGCGCACGTGCCGTCGCATTACGACGCGACGATTGTTGTTGTTATTTTACATAAGACCTTAATGGATCGAGGGACTCTCCTCGACTTTTATCACTTCATATTATACGTCTTGGCTTTGACGCCGCGTTTCTTCCGCAGACACGGCGCCGACCGCGAGACGCTCGGTTGATCGTCGGCTCGACGCCTTGTTGCGTTACTTACATCGCGTCGAGTCGCATTGCAGTTCGATGCACTTGCTCGTACACTTGTCTCGTCCGTGAACGTATATTGCGATTAATTGTTTACTACTATGTTCAGCACCGCATTGCACTAAATACAATATTCTTCTCGTCTCTCTTCGTTTTCCTTCGCATCTCGTTTTCTCGTGAAACATTTTCAAATTTATAATGCGAAATTCTATACTTAATTTGAATTATTATTATTTTTAATCATTTTTATAGGTCGCCGCTGCTTTTACTTAATGTGTCGAAAATTTAACTAAAATATTAAAATTGGACAATTTAATTTAAAAAATGTGTTAAATTTGTCTCAAATTTAGTTAATTATTTACTAAGTTTACTAAGTGCATTTACGCGACGTTAATTCCCATACTAATGCGTCCGATAAATATAGTCATAAATATAGTTTGAATAAATGAATGAATAATATATATGAATACAAGATGAATACAATTTTTTTTTATTTATGGGAATAACTAAATAACTTTTTTATTCAGTTTGAATGAACACATTTGTCAATATGGTTACGAATATCTTTTATTTCGCATTTACTCTCACCTTGCGACTGTAACCACATTATTTAACACACTCCTTATAGTAAAAGCATCGACATAATAGCTTTAATTTTCTCCTCGATATAATCATAATTAGCATATATATAGCTTTCATTTTTCTCCTTGGTACAATCGTAATTATTTGATCAATTACTTACGAGCAAATGTAATTGCTTAACTGCTGGTACTGTGATATGATTCGTAAAATATTTTGTCTTCGAGCTTGATTAAAATATAGACATGAACATAAATATAGACATAAATTAAATAGACATATCTAACATAGACAAATATTTTAACATGAATGTTTTCTAGATTTTAATCAAGCTCGAAAGCAAAATATTTTACAAATTATATCACTGTATCAGCAGTTAAGCAATTGCACTTGTTTAAAAATAATTATAGTTTATAAGTCCTACAGAAAAATATTATAGGCTTTTGTACACGTGTACCAAGCTGACAGATAAGTCTCTGACGATTTTGCTAAGAGTAAGGTAAACATCTATGATTCTATATCCAAATTTAAATTTTAAGTAGAAAAATAAAGCTAGTACAACAAAATTTAGCATGAAAACAGTAAAATAAATGACTTTCCGTTACTGATCCAAATATTTATTATAAATCACTAATTACGTTTAAAGAGAAAAGGTTGTTTAGTTTACATTTTGTTTAAATGAATAAGAATACTCGTAAAAAAAATATTCATAAATAAAATATTTTTAAAAACCCATAATTTCGAATAAATATATGGATAAATATTTTTTAATGTAAAAATTTTGAATAAATAAAATTTGTAGTCCAATTATACAAGTTTTTTGTATTTATCGAACATATCAATTCATACAGCACAGATCTTCAAGTAACGTTTTAAAGACATCCTGAGATTGTCCATTGTTGAAAACTTCCAGAGGACATCTTATACTCTAAGAAAGTTCCAGAATTATCCTTTGGATAAGGTATGTTATGTGGGTATGGATGTTGTTTATTTTGAAACTGAGTAATTCAGTCACACAGAATGGATTGATTTGCATTTTGACATACACGGAAGTTAGGAATAACAAAATGTTATTTAACTTAAAAGAGGAATATCTTTGATATCTAACATCGTGAACGAACGATTGGAAATACGTCTTAATGCGGCACAAAAGAACTATCTCATCCATGTATCGCCGACGATGTTGCGTGCACATCTCGCCCACAGTTGATGTCACAGAATATGCGTACCGTTTTTTCAACCTTATAAATAAGGAACGATGTATCAAGAGGACTGTATTTAGTTTCTGCACCTGGTGCATCGATGCCCCTGTTAAAGAAACAAAAAACTACGCAAAGAGTTGCATATAAGAATCAATGAATCGCTGAGTCATTTAAATTATTTCCGACGTGACGAGGCTTGTAAGATATTTATATCTTTGACGTGTATTTTTATCGAACTGTAGTATATAACTGGAATAATTCTCATAATTATAAATTTTTATATCCATATTTCTGACTATTTTTTTTAACACTTGCGATATACAATGTATTTTTCTATAAGTCACTTCAATGAACTATACTACTATAGGTGCATTCTGTTTCACGCATAATGCATCATTTATCCTTGTTTAACATTCGGTGAACAAAGATAAATGATGCATCATGCGCATCATGCGTGAAACGGAATGCACCCTATAATTAGTGGAATATGCGCGTTATTCCTTTTTAAGGCTGCTTAACCCTTGCAATTTCAAGCCACGTTAAGTTTCATCGATTATTATCATATAGGTGAGAATAAGGTCAGGATTTCTAAAAACGCCATATAAAAGTCAATTTTTCACATCAAAATACATAATCTATTAACGTTCACATGGAGTATATGCACGCACGCGCATCATCTTCTCTCTCCCATTTATTCTGCATCAATAACGTGTAAGGACAATATTTTATTTGCGTAGATATATTTGTGTAAGTATACTTTGAGAGACCGTTACGAACAGCGTCAACGAACTTAAAACCGAATATTTCAAAATTTAATCAAGAAATTATATTTTGTGCTCAGAAATAGAAATAGAAATAGGTCTCACTGATAAGTGCATGTCCCCTGTTATCGCCAACAGTTGTACACAAAAATAGAATTTATTTCTCTTAGCTGATAAATCAAGTAGGTAAAAGCTATTTAAGGAATCGTGATAAAACGGGTCGATTATATGATATGTTAAGTCTGGAAATCAAAATTATTTTGTTGGCTCAAATTTTTTGAATTATATCACGTGTAATTTTTTCTTAGATACAATTATACTTTTTATCATTCATGGAAAGTAATTATTCTAAGAATTATTCGTGTGAAATATATGAAAAAAATCTCATAGAGGATTTGTGTAGTTGAAATAATATCTTAAAATAAGAGCCTGAAAAAGTGACGTTTATAGTTTAACATGTTTATTTAAAAATTTCCCGCGATAAGCTTACTTTTCACTTTATCAACTCATAGGCGGATATTGTTGGATCATCAGATTGTTATTTAATTTTTCTGACATATAGATTTTTATTTTTATTTTCATTTTTATTTTTATTTAGATTGTCATTCATCTGTAAGATTAAAAACATTTCGCCGATTGTTTTGTGTTAAACACTGACTTCATCATCAGAAACTCAGTTTAATATTAATTAATTTAATACTAGAAATTATTTATTTTGAGTATTGAAAACGTTGTTGCGCTAGTATATTTTTGATACTTAAAATAATTTATAATTATTTTTGGACCAACCATACTTTATATGATTGTCCTAAAAATTACTATAAATTACGGTTAAATTATAATAATTGCAATTATTTTTATTATGATAATAATAATTATAATTTAGAGAGAGAGAGAGAGAGAGAGAGAGAGAGAGAGAGAGAGAGAGTCATTTTTGCTGTCAACTATATATATTTGTTGACAAAATTACCATATATTATTATTATCACTAACTTTACAACAGTAATAACAATAATTATGGTAACATGTAATTATGGTCACAAATACGAAAAACTTTTCTCTCAACATCTTTAACTTTTTCTTTGACACTTTCACTCTTTCAAAATTACTTCGACAATTGTTCGTAATAAAAACAATCACCGGTTTCCTGATAATTCAATTGTTAATCTAAAAACAGAACTGGCTCGATTGGCTCGATCAATGTGGATAGGACAAAAAGGGTGCCGCCACTCATTGACCTGCAAGTTTCCTGGGGTTATCGATTGGGTGAGTTCGTATCATGCTTATCTGTAAAAATTATCCCAAATCCAATTATTCCAGAAAGCGTAATGAGTTAAATCGTCGTCATTTTAAAGATACAGAAAAAAGATAGAAGATATCCCAAAGAAATTGTAATGTGTTACATAAGGATAAGATAATGAGTGCTTTCCATTTTGAAGACATAAGTCGACCCAAGCGTCGTTCTATCCTTCTTGACACTCAGAGAGTGATAAAGATAGAACGACACTTGTGTCGACTTGTGTCATCAAATGGAAAGCATCCATTGTCGAATTCTCTTCGTGAGAGAAAGAGCTCTAAGGGTGTAGAAACAGCGTTAATATTTGCCTTTCTTTTTTTTCCACGTTGTAACGGAAGTCGTCTGGCCGCGGTATGGCCTGTGCATAAGATCGACGAATGGATACCAGCCCCCGATGCGTGAACTCGCATGAAGCACGCAAAGGATGTTCTGCAACGAGGAAATGCATCAACGAACTTGGTGAAAGATCTGATCGTATCACGTTTACGGTGACAAAAAAGTCGCAACTGCCAAGAATTGCTTTTTGCGGAAACAGTAGGCAGAAAATTGTGACATTGAGAAAACTGTGTTTGGTATTTGTGACTATAATAATTGCATAGTAAAAGAATTATAATTAGAAATTTAATTTTTATAATT